AAATTTTTATTTTATTATTTTTGTGTGCGTGTACCATCAAATCAGATCTGACTGGTGCAGGAGGAGATTGTCCGTCCTTCCCTGGCAGAGCATCTGGTGGATTCGAACCGTTCGCCTCTGAGATTATAGTTGCAGCTCCTTGCCACTAGGCCACCAGAGCTCCCCCCTAATCATTCTTCTTAATAGCACTTTTCTCATTTCTTGTGTTTCATCCCTCTATTCATCCTTCTTTCCTACACACTGACCTTAGTGCTCAGGGCAAATGCTGCCATATTGACCTTGTATGAATGATTGTTCTAAGAAGTATGTTCCTTCCCAGGATTGTTAATAATTGTGTAAGCCTGTCTATTTGTTCATAGGGTCGCTATGAGGCATGCTCAACTTGATGGTAGTCAACAACAAAACAACATTGTTGACCTGAAAATTGAGTCATGAGTCTTAGTTCAGCCTAGGCTAGAAAGATGGCTAACGGGCACAAGTCTCAGGGCCTCTACCACACTCCATCAGACCAATAAATCTACTCTATGTTTTTGTCATTTTTAGTGGTGTTCCACATTTTTATCCTATTTTCTCAAACTTGTTATTTAAAGGAAAGAAGCTTCATAACAAGGCATTCAAATTACTATAGGAATTAGATTTAATAGCTAATTAAACTTTATATTTCAAAGTATTTCTTAAAATTGTTGAATTGGTTATGATTAATAGTTTTTAAAAGCAAGAAGATTTGAGACAGCTTTAATTCTATATTTCTATAATGGTTTTATCATTCTTTGTGCTTTATAGAGATCCATGTTTTTAAAATAAGAGTTTTAAAATAATGTCTAAATATATGATACTACAACAACAACAACAAGACACAAAACCAAAATGACCACCACCACAACAACAAAAAAAATCCATTTCATAGTGTTTAAATTAAATTAAATAGCCTGGTGAAATACTGTGGTTAAAACCCAGAAAAAGCCTCAAGGGATTAACATCTTGGTGACCATCATGATTCTAAAAATCATTTTCATTTCCATAAATATCAAAACTTGAGTGGTACAGACAGTTAATGCCTAACTACCAGTTAAAAGGTTAAAAGGTTGCTGGTTCAGATATATTTAAAAACTTGATAGACCAGGCAGACCCCTTACACCAAAGACATCAGAAAACAAATATCATCCCACAACATCAAGATCAAAATGGAAGAACTGAAGAACACAGTTTGAGAAGACAAAGAAAGCACAACATGCACAGCATGACCATTTTGAAAAATTGTTTATTTGTCATAAGAACTTGAGCCAGTGACGGTGCCCACACTATGTTCTCCTGGAGATCAAGGTCATGATTTCCACCACTGCCTGCCCCTTTCTCCATTTAGTGGTGTCGCTCAGATTGTTTTGGTGCCCCCTGAGCCCAGACCCACAGTATTTTGTATTTGAGTTCTAAAGCTCACACAGATCTAAATTTGGTCTCTCTCTGGAAGCCAATGGATTGTGCCTTGGAGTCATCTCCACGGTTAGCAGAGTCCCCACCTTGGAGCGGTGCACCCTCTGCTAAGTGCATCATTCTTGGAGACCTCAGATCAGCAGTGATCATCACTTCACATTTCTCATATCTGACTGGGCACTCAACAACGTCAAATCCTTATCCAGGAAACAACATCCAAGTGGGCTATTCAAAGCTAAATCCCACGCTTTAGACTGTCAAAGGCATGATCCCTAGTCAGGTGGACTATTCAAGTATCCTCTGAGGCCAATAGAAACCATCAGACATCTTATCTCTAGTCACAAAGACAACAAAGCCACAATGTCTAGAAAGGCAATAGGCAACTTCCAACCAGTCAAAAACAAGAATATATGGGATAAAAACATGACAAAATTACAGAGAGAGAAAGAGTATTGAAAGTTTGTGATTAGGAATTCAAAAGAAAGAATGCTACTTAAAATGTCTTCTAGGGATTGAAAAAAACCACAGAATTTTCAAAATACAAACAACTAAACAAGACCAAATAGTTAAAATAAATGAAAAATTAGAAGCAATAAAAATCCAACAGAGTGAAATTGAGAATATTAAGACTACAATCACAGAAAGAGATAATGGATTAGAAAGAGAAGAACTGAAGAAATGGAACACAGAATTAGTGAATTAGAGGGACAACATCAAGAAGAAAAACTTACATGTGACTGGAATCCCAAAAAAGGAAGCAAAGAACAATATTATAAAAATTTAGAAAATATGCATTCAAGAGATCGAGTGACTTCTAAACAAGATAGATCATAAAAGCAAAATGCTCAGATATATCATAATCAAGTGTTCCAAAATTAAAAAATGCAGCTCATGAAAAGTGAATAGTCACCTACAAAGAAGAATAAAAAATATTAAGCTGTGATTTCTCAGTGGAAACCATCCAGGCAAGAAAGCAATGGGTGACATATATAAAAGTATAATAGGAAAAATTGCCAATTAACATTATGATACCTAACAAAATTGTGTACCAAATCTCAATATGAAATTAAGGTGTTTTATAAAAGAAAGCTAAGGAAATTTGTGAAAGCTAAACCAAATCTACAAGAAACCCTAAAGTAATTTACATTGAGAGCTTAACACCACCACAACAAACCTATAGCAACATATATGTGATGCCCAGGTACAGAAATTACAAACTATGTTAAACATGCAACATGGAAAAATTAGGAAACCAGAAGTGTCATTACATAAATAACAATAATATAATAAAAAAGAGAGAATAATAAGTATAATTATAGAACTTCTAAATGGAGAGGAAGTCAAGGAGATCTCAAATGGGAATGGTTTAGACTTTGGAATAAGATAGAAAGTCATAGGGTAACCTTCAAGAAAATTGGTGACCCTTCTCATCAAAATAATAAAAGAAGAAATATCATAAAAACCTAGTAAAAACTAGAATAATAGAAACAAAGAAAATGTTAAAAGGCATTAGCAAAATTAATTCAGCCCAAAAATGCAAATGAAACAAAGATAAAAGCAACACCACAAAGAAGAGAGCAGCAAATGACAGCAATATCATCATATCTATCAATAATTGCATGTGAATGCACTACACACACCAGTCAGGGAAAAAGAGCAACAGAATAGATAAGAAAATATGACCCATCAATCTGTTGCCTACACTAAACATTCCATAGATAGGACAAAGACAGGGTCAAAATGAGGGGGAAATGGATAGGGGAGAAATGTCAAGCAAACAACAATCAAAAAAAGAGCCAGAGTAACAATATTAATTCTGACAGTATAGACTTCAATCCAAATCCTAGATAAGAGACAAGGGAATCCATTATAATAATCAAAAGAACAAGAGAGGAGATAGATATAAATATTTACTCAGCTAATGAGCAGCGGTGTCTCTCTGGAGACTAAGGTGC